ATGTTATCAAGGATTTCTGAAAGCATATTTTTGTTTTTGTACGTCGTTGTTGCTATCCCCGCCGCTGTAAAAATTCCTCGCTTCATTTGAATGAATCAAATATTTTTCTTAGTCAAATATCGTCAAATTTTCTTTTCTAACCGATCACTAATTATTGGGTGTACATAGATTTATATTGTGAGAACGTTTCCAACACTTCGAATGAACCTTCAGAAGCCCTATTAATTATATGCATATATACTCGATGAATAATTCCGAATCGAATCAGCCATGTCCATGTGTATAACGGTTCACTCATTTGTCTGTCTGTCCATCTGTATAAGGTATATCCGTCTGTCCATCTACCTGTCTGTCTGTCTGTCTGTCTATCCATACATATATCCATTTGTCCGCCTGTCTAATTGTACATCTGTATCTGTGTGCCTGTGTGGTATCTATGTTGAGCACAAAAGTGTAGATAAAGGCATGAACGTTAGCGAAAACATTGAAAGTGATTGCAAGCAGGTTGATAGTAAAAGCGGGCGAATTAGATCAAAGGACTTGCCTATACTGCAACGGCAACTGAGAATACCTGGATTCATTAAAATTGAGAACATTTTCGGCCAGTACTCATATGGCTTTTAGATTTTCCAATGCCAAAATGTTGCAAATTCGATTTTTTCAACAAAAAACGACGACAATCATAAATATGAATATGAATCTAAACATTTATTAATTATGTTGATTAAAAACGTAAAGGCTTTTTGAAGAGCAACGCATAAAATACGTACAAGTATTGAAAGTTTCTGGAAATGGCTAACACATACGGAATCTCTGATATTTGTAACATTGTAATGCTGTGGATTTGTTAAAAAAAATTTTATACCAGAAAAAACTGAACAAAAAGTTTATATCTTGTTAAAGTTTTCTTTTTTGTTTTTGTTTTTTTTTTTTTTTAATTTTATGCAAGGAGTAGAATGAAAGGCATCACAAATTATATAAAGGCGTAGGAAAAAGTTCTAAAGTTAAGCAACTTTAATTGTTCAAAAATCGCACCGCATTAATTCTTCTTCAAGTGTCGTTAAAACACATGCAGTTTAACACATTTTTCGTACTATAAATGGAAGACTATTTTTCGAAATTTCAAAGTATTATGTTTACAACGATAATATACTGGGGCAAATGAGAGAATGAAATCCAGGTATCTTTCGTTTTACAGGATACTTGATACAATAGGACGTTCGATCTTGCAAGTTTTTTCTATTGGAAATTTTCCAAAAAAAAAAAAAAAAGCGAAAACTAAAAGAAAACACCCATCAAAAAAATCATTTTTAACTACTTATGCACTTATTTTCGTTTAATTTTAACTCATTATTTTCGCAATACTTAGGACGTATTCGTCGAAAAAAGTAATTTGTGTTTTTTTTTTTTTTTTTTTTATTTCTATAGAACAAGACTTTTTTTGCAACACATATTCATTATCATGTTTATCTTTACCGTAATAAAATTTTTATTTTCATGTTTATACCCTACACCATTTGTGTTGCAGGATATATTAAGTTTCCCCGTACGTATGCAATGCTCACAACGGTTTAAGATAGACTCACCTTTCATTAAATCGATCGATTCAGAATCATTTTCTGAATCAAGTTCTATTTAAGCTGCAGGCAGCAAATAATATTTGACATATTTTCATGAAATTTTGTACACTGATGTGTTTTCACCCAAGAACGAATGCCGTTGAAAATGATTCGAATTCATCCAGTTTTTCAATCAATCCCCATATAATGGCTTATTTTAAAAAATGGTTATAGGGGAACTAATTGCAATTTTCAAAATTTCTCGACAAAACTCGATAAATAATAGTATTTTGACATTCTGCATTGGTATGAAAAATTTGATTTGGCTGGAGTAATTTTTTAAAATCTTTCTTATGTAACCGCTCTTATGAAAACTGAATCTTTATGTGGCAAGAAGATGTAATTTTCAAAATTTCACGGTAAATATTGGTTCATAATAGTAATCTGGTCGATTTTGCATCACATAGATCTATTTAAGAATTTTCAGGAAATGGAAATCCTTAGGTCAAGAAGGCCTAATTAATAATTGATGTTTTATGATGAAACTTGGTTCATGATAATAAATTGCCATGAAAATGAAGTGGACCAAACTTGAACCATATGCGTCTATTTCTTGGTATTTAGGGATAAAAAGCAAGCCCTTCTATAGAGAGAAAATATCATTTCTAATTTTCTATGACGGAAACTGAAAAATAATAAAATTTTAAATAGGGGTCATGTCGCATGATGTTTTGGCCATCCTCATCCATTACGCGGACTTGCATGAAAAGTTTAGATAAGAGGAGATAAGAGATTTTTTTTCTTCTCTTCTATAAGTCATAAGACATTTTAATGTGGCGTGATAATGTTGCAGTGTTAACGATGTGCAAGCACATGTCACAATCCAACGGAAAAAGACAAATTGAATTGTAGAAAATGGAATTTAGAAAAACTCGTGATACTTTTTAAAAAATGATTGCTTGTTCGAATTGACTCATTGTCGTCGATCTATTATATCGCTGCGCGCGTCATTCCCAAATGGCTTGCTATTCCAACGAAATTGGCTCAGCACATCCATGTCTATGGGTAATAATACGCCCCCGTAAGCTATCAAAACATTATATGCCGTCAATGTTACGCTGTTAAGAAAAACTTGAAATGTTTTCAAATCAAGAGTTTTCAAATGGGTTGAAATTGTTTGGAATCCCTCTGTGCGTATTTACCAGCAAATAACTTTCAATATTTCGTGGTACTATTTGGGTGCGTAGTGCGTATTATATATCTTCGAAATTTACCAACACAAACAATAATATATGATAATTGAGAGTAAAAAAATATTTGCAATATCTGAAAGGGACGATAAAATCAGTTCCCATCGTGAAAGAGTTTGGTTTGGAGGACTTGAAATACTCGTCTTTACTTTATTAACATTCATTTTACTCGAGGCAGAACAATGTCGTTAATCATTATTTCAATTACCTGAGAGAGATTAGGAAATGTTGCGGTTCAGGAATATCTTCCAAGCTGACAGAGACTACAGTTATAGTGTTAAAGACCAAATTGAATGCGATAAAATTTAACTGTCACTAAGTCAAGACTACTATCAAGAAGATTCGTGTGATTTTACATTGCAAGCAAGGCGACGCTTCCATCACTAATTGCACACAATATTCTTCTTTCTTCGATGAATGATTTTTTTGAATAACCAATCCCTCTACGTTTACGGCAGCATCAGAAAATTTCACGTTTCCTCGAAAGTTATAGCTGATGAGTAGTTTTGTATTTACATTTATTTATCGCAAACTTAAGAAAATCCTATGATTAGTCATAGATAGATTTGTTCAAATAATATTTGTTTATTTATTTTTTTAATTGCTTTTGTGTTTAAACAAAGAAAATTGCCATACAAAAAATGATGAGAACTAACCGAGCAAGTATTCTTAATATTTCTCATATGTAATGTATACGCCATGTTATTCAGCTAGTTATGTAGATAGAATTGATTGAAATTGAATTGAAACGAAATGTTGAGTGAATGGTGAACGAAAGCATTGCTTTCGTTGCATCATAAAGTGAAATTTTGGATATAGATAACTTGGACCTTGATGCTTGCACAGTATAAGTTTGAATTGTACATATAAGGTCTCTGCATGCCGAAGTGTAAAGACTTGAATGGCAACATGCATCATTACAGCAGCTCGAGTCAAGGAAATAATGAAGTTGACTTGGGGTGAAAACGCAGTTAGAAATTGATTTGAACGTTTGTGTGATAAAAATTCTAGTCGTGAGGACGATAAATGTTCTGCAGCTTCTCCGAAGGATATTGAAGAAACAAAGATATTCAAATAAACTCAAAAAAAGTCATCCTTTACAACTAGAAATAAGTTAAAGAACAATTTCAGCGTACAGTAGGCAACGAAGGTAAATGAAAGCTAATGCAAAAAAGCAAAAATTGCTTACACTGGACTGAATTCTGCCGGACAATCGGAAACGAAGAAAAATATGGGTTTACCCAGGCAAAAGTCTCCGTATGGCTTGCAAGGCCAAGAACTCATGAGCAGATGCTAGAAATGCGTCATATTCGCATTCATCTCTTTACATTTGCACATTGAACAGTAACTTGTATTCAAATGAAAATAACACTGTACAAACACCATAGCCTAAATTAGTTGTACTTCAAATTTCAAGCAAATTGAATGGGTCAGGTACGCTTTAAGAAGCAACCAACTTGAATGGAGAGAACTTATTTCTACACAAAACATATTACTTTTAAGAATGGACCGATTTCGTCTGAATTTGTTATTTATTTATGTAATAATAAATTAATAAATAGAAAAATAAATTTATTTTACTTTATTAAGCATGTGCTTTTTATTCGATTTTGTTAAATATTTTCTATAAAGTTTTTGATGATTACTTATATATATATATATATATATATATATATTTGTGTATATTTATATACCGCTACTATATATATATATATAGATAGTTATATGTATACAGTATATACATACAATTATATATATATATATATATTTATATACTATATATAGTCATATATAGTCATGTGTATATATATGCATACATATATATTATTTATTTATTTATTTATTTATTTATTTATTTATTTTTATATGTCAAGTGTGTATGCATGTATGTATATAATTATATGTATCACTATTTTGTTTTTATTTTTATATTTATTTTTATTTATTAAAGATTATTTTCTATAATTATTGTCCACCCATCCAGTTTTATGTTTTATATTTGGTTTGTTGTCATAATTAATCTGATATAATTTATTTATGTTCTCATAAATTAATTTTGAATTATAATTTTAAATAATATGAAAACGAATTCGATTCAAATAAAAGCAAAAAAAAAAAAAAAAAAAAAAAAAAGGAACCAGCAAAACACACCACAAAATGAATAATAGTTTTTTCCCTTTTGTTATTGTTGTCAATATTTAAATAAAAGACCTGAGTCAATGGTAGAAAAATCATTTAAATTATTATGATATTTATGAATATTATCATTGTAATCATTATTTTCAGTGCCATCATCATCATCATCATCAACATCATCATCATCGTTATTCTTACGTACCTTTTTGTTGTTAGTATGGTGTTTATGCTTAACTACTACATCACCGCGATTATTATGATTTTTTTTACTATTATTATTATCAACATTAACATGGTTTGCCTGTACAAGTGCGTAATATATGGGAAAATTAAATTTAAATTGTCCATCCTGCCAGCTATTCAGCCCCGATGATGATTGAGTTGTTAATAATGCAGCTGTTGCTGCAGCCGTTACTGTCGTTGCCTCGAATCGTGAAAATAATGATGACATGCCCACTGTTGTTGTTGTTGTTGTTGCTGTTGTTCTTGCTGCTGCTGCTGTTGTTGTTGTTGTTGTTGTTTTTCCTGTTAGCAATGGAGCTAATACGAGGCTACCGTTACCCGAACCTATATCGTTATTGTTATTATCTTCTTCGCCTTCTTCTTCTTCTTCTTCTGTTTCTTCCTCATCGTCCTCTTCATCCTGATCATCGGTAACGGATAAGGTAGACATTTTTGCTTTTCTACCGTTGTAATTGTTTTTAGTTGAATGATTGTTTTCATACAAAAAAGGTCAACGAATCAGTAAACCCGTGTCTGGTGACCAACGATTCGCACGATAGTACATATCTTTATACATGGTGGGACAAACATTTTGATTCTACAAAGAAAAAACGAAAAGTCAAATATAAGCACATATAAGCACATATAACATACGTTCAGATACCATCAGTAAAGCAATCAAGGAGATAAGGGGGTAAAAAATAACGAAAAAAAAAAAAAAAACATTCACTATCGTTTTAACAACAGGTTATCGTCACAATGAATGAAAACCAATTTGTAATAAAATGAATGAAAATATGAAAGCAATACGAAGTTCAAGTTGAGAATATTTATTATACGGTAGGAAAAGCCAAGTTGAACCATTTGGTTGCTTATATTTTATATTGATATTTTGCATATTATGCAAACAAGTCCTGGGAATCACCTGTTGTATTAAAATCCGCATATTAATGGATCAGATATAATTGCTTAAATTTGATCGAATTTTAAGCTATCATAATATCATAATGACTTTTCCATCCTTTTTGTTGCATTGGGGAATTTGTTTATATATATTAAACACTACAACTACGGAGTACATCATTTTGATCCTATTTAACTTCCGATCCTTCATCAAATGTTTCAAAATTTTTGGATAATTTTTACTTAGATGAACGGGCCTTCAAATATCTATCAACAACTTTTTCTCTAATTCGTCTACTTTCCAAGATACCGATGATATGTACGTTTTTGCTACCAAAAGGTATCGTTTTGATTCACTTTTCTTTTAAAGTCATCACAGCCGCTAAAATGGATATAAAAAACTGGAGTTTGGCAAAAATGCACTTTAATCGAATAAAAAACCGACGATTAAAAACCGTTGTTATAATCGGTCTACTTGCACGTTCACGATAAGTTGTAAATAGAGACAACTTCGAAAAACACTGACATTGGTTTCATATCATCATCTACAACATTTGATCGCTTGAAGATATTACGGATATGTGTATGCATTAAAAAAAGGCGTGAGCATTAAAGTAAATCGGAAGTAAGTTGGAAATAAATTAGAATTAAAATTTTATAATAATTTTTTGGCTTTTTCTGAAATTCTCTCAGTTTATAATATAATGTGGGCGAGCACATGGGGAAGTTAAAAACCGTTTTTGAATTTTCGATTTCCAACCAGCCAAGGAGAACGATTGCTTGTTTCAAATTCAAATCCTTGTTTCCCGTTTTGTTGCCTTGGCGACTTCACAAAATCAGGGGAACGAGATGATACTTTTCGATCGAAATAGTGCTAGGCATAACGGCGATTGTATTAGGGTTAAAAATATCATTGCAGTGCAAGCCTTGAAAAGGCTAAAAAGTCCCTTACTTATGATATTATGCCGCGTCACCACAAGCTTACGGCAAAAACTAGAAGACATTAAGGATGATCGCTGAGATCTGGCAGTTGCAATGTGGCCTCTAATGAGGAAAATGTGGAAAAATTAATGAAATTGATGTTTATACTCTTACATCACTTGAATATATTAAGTTTGTGCCGAAGTATAGAAGCCTAGAAGGACTTGAACTAGAGTCACGCTGTACTATACCGATCAATTTATAATCATTTCATAAATCCATCTAAGCTTGCCTGCCCATCTGGCCATCTGTATGCCTATCCGCTTGATTTTCATGCGTTAAGTCTGCAATTCTACAATTTTTCACATAACTTGATGAAATTTCTTACGCTAAATTGCTTTGGTCCAATTACAAACATTATTGAAAATGTTTCGGATCCGACCAATGTTTCAACAACTTCACATTTAACATCTTCTTTGAAAAATCGTTATTTGAACGAAGTGGTGTAAGGTAAGTTAAGGCCATATATCATTATAATGTTTTCACTTGTTGTAAACTAGAAGGATCACTATTACAAAAAAGTACAGTAATGCAGGTGCAATGAAAAAAAATTACAAAAAAAAAAAAAATAAAAATAAATAAAAAGAAGTTAATTATCATTCATACTAACCTTGTTTCTCTTAAAATCTATATTAGTTCTAACAGTTCTATGGTGAAGGTTTTGCACTGGCCGCGCATTATTACCTAAAGGAGCTTTTGGGGTGGTTTCTGAACCCTGCATAAGCCGTCTCAGTTGGTACAACTAATAACAAGAGATGAAGGAAAAAATTAAATATTATTAAATATGTATATATATATATGTGTAGATAAGAAAATAATTCTCAATTTGATTAATGCAAAATCTATTTACATTTAATTTACATTTGTGCCGTATGTACGAGTGATAGAACATCTGGATTTTATAAATAATTGCATTATATAAATTTTTTAAAATTTTTAATATATAATTAAAGTTAATATTAGCGCTTTGAACGTAAACATATTAAAATGGTCTTAATCACTAAGCAGATTAAATAACTGAATGAAATTTTCCGGCCCTTAATGTAATTTTGGTTGGCAAAAAAGTATTTTTAAATCCTTGTAAATAGATAAAAAAAAAATGCAGTTTTTTGAGTGACTTTTAACCGTTTTGATAGCCTTTTTGGTTTTTCCATAATGTATGTAATCCTCAAAAAGATGCTTCAGATATCCTTTAAAATGCATATATTCATGATCAGGTTGAAATTCTGTTTTGATTAAGTCATGTCTGTCCGTTCATGATGTATGTCCGGTATATTAATGTTTTCTCTAATAATACCAGCGATATGGTAATCAAATAAAAGAATGCAAAAGCATAGTCGTTGGTAGGCCAGATACGGTCCCCGCCGAATATATATTTTGTACTTGTCTTCTTTCTTTTTTTTTTTTTAACTTGTGGGCTCTTGCAAAAGCACCTTTTAGGCTATTAGAAGTAAAAGAATAAAAAAAAAAAAAAAACAAGATATTTATTATATAGTTAAGTACCTCTTGCTTAGTTATATAAATCGGCTTATTAATTATGATCCATACAGTGCTCTCCCAGCAGCCTGGATGCGTTGTGGATCCTTCATATGTTATATAATGGTCTGTATTTGGCAGTAGGGCGCGTACTGATAAATGTCGTATTGGTGTAGAAAATCCTTTTAAAAGACAAATATTTTTATCTTTATTGATACCTTTTGTCATTTTATTTTACTTATAATTTTAAAAAACCGAGGCGATGAGAAAATATATTTATTTCACTATGAAAATTCAATTTATACATAAATAATAAATAATAATTATATTCAGAATTAAATGTCATTAGATTTCTACACCAATTATATTGTAAAACAAGTAAAAACACTATAGTGGGACACGGCCCACATTCCATTGATTAACACAATTATTCACATAAAATAAAGGTTTATATGGGAAGTGGTTGACAATGCGGTCAGGTCCGAATCATTTGCAATAGCATTTGTCCTTGGGCGACAATATATCGGTTTTCCAATTGCAGAAATATATCTTAAACACTGCGATCTGTAAATTGAAAATTAGAAAACTCTTAGAGTTCCAAAGATTGTTTCATTACACATTTCTTTTAAATATGTATTGGGGAGTGCAAGGAGAAGCAACAAACAAGAAACAAATGACAACAAATATTCTCGAGTTTAGATTTTTAAATTACGTTGACGTGACAATGAAAGCGATCCAAGTCTTTAAGCACTTTATAGTCCATCTAGCTTGTTGTTTATAAATTAAAAAGCCCGAGCTAGTGATAGAATACAATTATCGTATTCTCAATATTTTCAGAAGTTTCAGAAACTTTCCTTAATCCATTAAATTTCAAAAATAAATCCTTTCGTTCGTTACTATTACCGAACGGAAAGATTTGAAAAGCACACTTGACTTAAATTACCAGAGTTAGTTGCCATAAATAGCGCAGAATTTACAGTAAGTACTTTGTACCATGTGCTTGTCCATGTACATGGGCTTCAGTAGAAGTACAATTAAAAGTTATAGCTCATGTTTAAGACGAAGATAACATAAAAAGCAAATATTTAAATATTTCGATCCAATTCATCGAAGACGTATTATTGTCTAGAATGATTTTATCCCAAATATAACTTTATTTAAGATATATTTATTATTACAAAGGTCAGTAATCGAAAGATACATAATCATTAGCTATGGTCGTTTTCCTTTTATCGGGTCACTTATTATTAAGGTATGCAAATATGTCTCTTTATGCTTTGGCCAACGAAGCACAGACGATTTAATGACAACAACATAATTGGATCATCATTTTCAATTCGGTTTTAGGAGATGAAGCTCGAGATTATGGTGCTAAAGATGAATTTAAACGAGTCATTGTTGAAAGCACAACAACTATTTTAAGCCACAACTATATGTAATTCTCGTTCACTCGCCTCATATCACAAATAAAGGATTTACCTGCAAGGCAAGTCGTCATCAGGTATACTGTTTAACTGTTTGTGGCATCGGAAAATAATAGGCTTGCCGCCGAAATAGTAGCGCACATTCGAGGCGACGTGTTTTTTTAAGCGCCTCGTTACTTGCAACCGAGCAATTGGAGTTTCCGTGGTACAGAAAATATATGCAAAGTGTACTATATTCAGATACCGTGAGGCAACGCGCACACAACTCAAAAAAGGTATAATGTACGTTAAACTAATTGGAAAAAGGGAAATTTTGGATTTTTCATTCTGCCTCTTCCGTTTTCGTGTGCGTTCACCCCTTTTGCCAAAGAGGAGGAGCTGCTCAACATTGCGTATGTAACAAAAGGGGAAGAGAGTGGATGCCGCATTCATTTCGATCAAACATATCGCTGCGCTTGCGATAAGAAAACCCAAAGGCTATTGCAACGTTAGATGGAAAAGGTGTAGTATAGTTAAGGGCCTCTTTTTCAATTTCAAAGTGTGCCATGGCGTTGATGACGTCTTTTTTAATCCGTTGCATTGCTTCTCCAGTTTATCAACCGATGGGGAAATTGATGATTCCCCTAATCACGCTGCACAATAACGCAGCAAAGGCACAAGAATTGTACGAAGTTAGAGTCATCCAAGCGGCTGGAACATTTAAAGGGGTAGAAAGAAGACAGGATAGGGAACCAGGTTACCAATACGAAAAATAGCAAAATTGCGTCTGAAGGACAAACAACCACGAAAGCTGCAAACATAAATGAAAATCGAAATTGCTTAGGACCGAAGCAACCTTACTTGAAACGGATATATTTGGGTTTTCATAGCAGGGGATGTAGGCGGTCGAGAGAAATTACGATTTAGATCACCTGGATGAAAATAACTTTACAGCACAAAAAACAAAAAAAACAAAAAATTATGATATGATGTTTGCATTGAAAAAATCAGGCAAAGCAAACCAAATCAACTATTAGAGAAAGGAAATTGGCGAAAGCGAAATATGAAGCGTAATAAAATTTTTGAATTGTATTCGTAATATTGCGTATGAATACATTTTTATATGCGGACAATTAAAATCTCTTATTACTACAGACGAAAATTTATCAGCAACTAGGTAAGAACATACTTTAAAGTACCACATTGAAGCTAACGTGACTTGAATGCATATGCATGCGCACGTCTATGCTTTGAAAAGAATCCACTAAATATATACATTACCCACATAAAGAACATTCAAGCAAAGAAAAAAAAATAAAAAAACGATTAATATATATATATATATATATATATTACTGTATATATATATATCGGAATAGATGCGATAGATTGCTTTCCAATTCTTTCCACGAAAGACAACAAGCTCTTGGTACTTTTTGCCGCGACGCAGTACCTGGTTGTGCACGTATTCCTCGACTGCTTGCGTAGCCGATTGGTTTGGTTGCATGGATTGAAACGGTAAATTTTAAATGCTTCCTCTCCGAACCTGACTGCGTCCTTGCAAGTCTGACGTTAGTCATTTTTTTGGGTTTAGTCGAACGAGGTATAAGTTCGCATTCCATGTTTGATGATGTTTTGTATTATTTCTGCGGCGGCATTAACATGATAATCTGGGAAGCATAGCTGCCAATTAAAATGCTTGAAAAAGATATTGGGCAATGCCCAATCTGCCTAATTGTTTATATAGAATATAAAATTTGTTCGCCACCGTCGAAACGTGAGAAAGCTGAGCATCTGAAAAGGATGCAGAAATGGTACAGTGGTCCTAGTTACCGAGATTAGTACGAGGAACGAGAGAGGTTTAGTGTTGTAACCCATCAACTCCCATTCTCAAATGAAAATGTATGTTTCTGCGCGCGGTTAATCTTTTATTAAACACCAAATGTAAATGAAAGATTTTTGTATAAAAAAAAAGAAGAAGAAAACTCAATATTATTTAATTTTTATAGTACTTGGACACTCAGCGCGGAACGTTCAATGTACATCACTTTACCAAATTTTCGTTAATTTTATGATATTTTGCAAATAATGCACACACACACACACACACACACACTCATGCACGCATTTACTTTTTTTTTTCTTAAAAAACAGCTTAAATTCACATCGAAATATCCTGAAACACATTGATGATATTTGATACTGTTAATGAAACAAATAAATGGCATAACTATACATATAAATATATATAAATAAATGCTGACAAAAAAGAAAGAAAAAAAAACCAAGGCCAACTTAACTATTAAAACAATTTAAACTATTTCTCTTGGCAAGTTGGAAGGCAATAATAAAGAAGAAAATACGGAAAGAACGCAAGAGCAAATTAAATGAAAAACAAAATGAAACGAATATTAAATTCCTTTAGCAACATTAGCAAAACGTCATTTACTGGTTATAGTATTTCATAAGGAGACACATACTAGGGATCAATGCTTCAACTCATTCCACTCAATGAGCATTGCTGATGTAATTTTCGTAAATTACGGCTTAAAAATGCAAACATTTGAGTACAAATCCTGAAATATTTTAAATATTTTTCTCAGACTTTTAACGAATGCAATGCACTTCCGTGCTGCTCTTCTCTTTTTTTTTTTATTGCTAAAGGCAACATCGAATGACTTATTGTCTTTTTAGTTGATTTGCAAAAAAAAAAAAAAAACAAAGTCATCAATCTAAATTGCTTTAGAAGGTATCTATCGAAAATTAACGAACAGCTCTATGACTCTAACAAATTTTAATTTATCGAAAATATGGCTTATTGATCGATTGAAGCTTGAGTTGAAATTTCAAAAATTGGCAAGAAGAAGCTTTGTATGTCGCGTGAATAGACAACTCCTCAAGCTTGGTCAGATGATTGATTGATTTCGCTCTCTGCTGTCAAAACTAGGACTCGATGTGATCGATAAGAACGGCTTCATCTTCATCTATTACTGTCTTTGTTAGTTGAGTTAAACTTAAAAGACTTTGTTGGGGAAATTTTAATGCGTCCATACTATAGTCACCCTGTTCGACTATCATTTGTTCCATTATTTGCATAATTCTGTCAATGGTGTAAAGCTTTAGTCAGCGAAATAAAAAAAGTCTCTCGATTAGAAGGGTATATATTTGATTTAATATTTATCCTTCGAGTTTTTTCCCTGATTTATTAAACACCGTATGTAGGTTAGAAAATGTTTTTTTGGCTCAAATTCGTCGAAGCTGAGTTTTCAATTATTTGATGCCACGAGGGAAAAATTCGAAAAAAAAAAATTGAGTTTCTCAATAGTACAATCAATTATACTTCTACATGTAGTTCTTTATCCTTTCAAATCTGAAAGCCTTCGTACTTCTACGCTTATCTCTTCTTCAAAAAATATTAAGTTAATGGATTTTCTTTTATCCTTGTTTTCCTCCTGCAAAAAAAAATATTTAATATTTTTACACCCATCACCGGAGGATAAGGGCTATCTTCATTTTATCAAAACGTAAAATGTCCGTCTGCCCCCCTATCTGTCTGTCCAAGTGGGTGGTGAAGATATCGGCTATAAATTTGCAAAAGAATTTGGAAATGTGCGTCTGTCCGTCTGTCCGTCTGCTCCCCTATCTGTCTGTCCAAGTGGGTAGTGAAGATATCGGCTAT